TTTTTTTTTTCAAAACTTTTGGTATAGTCTGATAGCCAGTCCTATAAGCTTTAATTTGATATAGGGGTTTAAATATCTAACATGAGTTTAAACCGGACGCGCTACATCGCTTGCACGCGAGACACCCCTGAAGGTGCACGATAACCTGAAGTACTGAGGCGAACCAATCATTTCCTGCTATTTTCCCAAACATGTGGGTCCGCGTGTAAAAAAGCATGAGCCTGTTTCGGTCTCCTAGTCAGCGGAGACGAGCAAATAAGATGCCGAGCCAGAAACGACCACTCAACTGCCTGGCATCGAGAGCTTGCTACCGACCAAAAGCCTAGTACCAACAAAGACCCTAGTACCAAGAGCTTGGCCAATACGTGGTGAGCGATTGTATTTTCGACCCAAATGTTTGATTACTTCGACAAGTCCATTCACCCCTTACCCCCAAAGAGAATTCATATCGATTTGCGATATTCAGTTGTAATTTTAAATTGGGATCCCCAGGTTGCTCAGAGAAAACTCCCAAAGAAAACGTCGGGCAACACGATAGCAAAGTCGTGTGCAAAAGCGAAAGATAAACATCTGGTCTCCGACGTTAGACCTCAGTTTTTAATCCACACTAGTTTATCTTCCTGTGAGAGCTTAAAAAAGTTATTAGGTCGTATCTCAACTGAGCACACAGACCAACTTTACTATGCTGGCTTAGTGCATTATACACGGCAAGTTACTCTTGTTTTTGTTTCAATACAAGAAATTATCATACGCAAAACAATCTTGGATTAACCTAGTCCCTTTATGTTCCTCCTGTTAGAGTCTGGGAACTATTCTGTGAAGTGATGTCAGCAAATAGTCACTCGGTCGTAAGGGAGTCACGCTAAGAGTAAAATATTGCGTGATTTTGTGTCAGTCACGATAAGACTAAACACGAACTGTCACGGTAACAAAAAACCTTTCCTTTAAAATATTCAATCAACTTTGAAATTCTCCTTCAGATATCACGTAGAAAGGGAAACGAGTAATGTAATAAAATTATGAATTCCTATTTGTACTCACAAGAACAATAACAAAAACGGCATGTTAAGTTTTTGAGTAACAAATTACTCTCTACAGACGAAACAATTACTAAAACCCAAAGATTGTCGACCAAACGATCACACAAAGCAACAGTCCGATGGACTTGGTGACCGCGCCTAGCTGACCCACTGGGGGACTGGCTGAAGCAGCCCTTACTTCTTTAAGCATCTTCTTCACAATATCCATGGAACCGTTATTCGGGCGAGGTTCAATTCCTAAGAGATCACACATCAGGGGATAGAGATCCAGGATAGAAAAGGGCTCTATTTCGTAGCCCACTTTGAAGGCGGGTCCCTGCGCGTACAGAATGGAGTATGTCTTGGATTTTTGCGGTGGCCATCCGTGATTTCCTCTTACCCAATCACCGTGGCGGGCTGTAGCATTCGATTTGTCCAAAACCCAGCCAACATCCGGTTGTACATAAATGGGCGGAATCCGTTTGTTGTGCTTCCAGTGATACTCCTCGGGAATATCGTCCTTTTTGTACACTTTCAGATGGGGATAGTTGTCTTTCGTCAAATTAGTGTAAATCTCCTCTAATTTTCCTTCGTTTGGCCATATGTGACCTATTGTTCCACTCTCGATAAGCCAATAAGTCGACGGATCGATGTACTTGTCCAAGAGGATCACCCGCTCTGATGAAGTATTCACCATGTTATGATCACTGACGAAAATCAAGTTCACCTTGTCGATGAGAGATTCTTCCTTGAGCTTATCCAAGAGATGTCCAACAGCACCTTTGTCAACCTCTTCAATGGAGTCCTTGTACGCCTTGGAAAGCGCTCCGTCCGTATGACCCTTCCAATCGGGTGCATCGATGTACAGCGCCACAAAACGCGGTGGGTCCTCCGATTTTAACCAGCCGATGACACGGTCAACTCGGCGCGAATATTTCTCCGTTTCGTTGAAGAAATCGGGGTAGCAGTGTTCGTATGGAGGGAATTTCGCTCGGGTTTTGTTACGTAAGCTTAGTAGTTCTTTTCCAGTCAAAGCAGAGCAATTCAGTTTACAAATTGGCTTTCTGTAGAAGCTCGGCATTTCTTTATAACCGCCAAATCCAGGCCAAAAGTAGACTCCACTTCGACCCTTGTTTACCTTCGATCGCTGCAGGGTCAGCCATATTGGTTCCGCCTCGGTGTAGAATTTCGGATCGAAATTGCTGCAGTCGTACTCATAGATAAACTGTTCTTTAAACACTGGATCCCAAAAGGTGTTAGAAACGATTCCTTGGCTTTCAGGGTACAAACCAGTGAAAAAAGATTGATGCGTTGGCCAAGTTTTCCCGGGAACGACTGTTTTGATGTACTTGGCTTTCACTCCACTTTTTGCAACTCTGTCGAGGTTTGAAGTGTTGGCGAATGCTCCGCTGATCAAGTTCCACGGCATTCCATCCATGGAAACTAGAACCACCGTCTGAGGCTCTTTTGCGTTATTTGCGTGGAGAAGCAGCATCACAAAAAATACGGCAAAAGGCCAGAACGAAGCCATTTATGTTTGTTTTCGTAACTGTTGTTTCTGCACTCAAGCAACAGACCCAGGTAGGTGCTGATTCTTTCGGCAGATTACGGCTTTTACGAATCGTTGACATCCGTCTTCATACCATCAAAAACAAAATACTTGATTGGATTTTGGCTTCCTAGGGTGACAGGTCATTTGATTGTTGTACTTTCTATTTAAATTAGGAGATGTTTCAATCTCACGGCTTTGCCTTATTTTAAATTACGATCATCGCTGTCAAAAATTACAACAACAACTAAAAAAAATATATAAAAACGGGGTAATGTCATGTGCTGAGCTGAATTGCTTTGTCACGCTAGAAGACAGCGAAGACACTGATCAATTTTCAAAAAATGTAACACTGTATCATTTATTTTCTTGCACTTCGCGGAAAAAAAAACGCTAATCTGGTATCGCCGTGTTTCCATAACCGGACAAGTGCAAAAACAGCGTGCTTTGAGGAAACGTGCTATAAATTTGAAACAAAAGGCGTGATGTTGAAAAACAGAGCTTGCATTCAAATCAATTGTGAATTGACAAATTGACGAAAAGCGGCCTCTAACAGCATGGGATATACAAATAAATTTCTATAGTTTAGTGGAGAACAAAAACAAATAAGAAAAGAAGTACTTTCTGTAAGTTCACATTCTAATCCATTGAAAATAGTTTGAAAGGAAAAAATAACGGTAAAAAAAAAAAAAAAGAGAAAAGGTCCAGTCCTCGTTTAGGAATCGATCTCGTGACTTTTGCCAACCCTAGCAACAGTTCCGCACAACATATGAAGAAGTAAGAAAATGATAACAGCTTGAGATACACAGCACAGATCCATTACTTGACGAGTGATTAGAAGCAACTTAAAAAGGAAATTGGCAGTTAAATTTTCTTTTAAGAACGCAATTGGTAAAACAAGCTTAAGAAGTCTTGAGCGGCATTCAAAGTCATGTCTTGAGCTTTTAATACCGCATTGTCTCTCCTGGTCCTAGATGACCACTTGTGAACCCCGTGTTGAAAACAAAGAGGTTTGCAATAATCCTTTTTACAGTTGTGGGCTTGGTGCCAAGCCTTTGAACAGGAGTGGGGTTAAGGGTGACCTTGTTATGATAGAGATGTTGCTACTTTTCAAATGCAAATTTCTTTGATATCATGCTAACTAGATACAGGTCTCTATCACAACAGGGTCACCCTTAGCCTCACTCCTGTTCAAAGGCTTGGCCACCAAGCCCACAACTGTAAAAAGGGCTATTGCAAGTCATCGATAGTTTATAAAGGAAATGAAACAACGAGAGACAAAGGAAATAAATTCTCTGTCTGAACACTGAATAGAAACAAAGTAAACAAGAGGAGAGAGAAGAGGAATATTCACAAAGACAATTGTGGGCAATCAATTTTCCGCGAGGAAGTAAAATAAGGCGATGAGTTGCTAACAATCGACAACGACAACAACAAACGCACTGTTATTAACATTATCAACAATTTGCAATATCAGCGTCAGAAAAAGCTGATACCGAAGGATTTGATGACTACCTTGAAATAACTATGATGAATTCACTCTTTTTAGCCAGATCAAAAATTATATTTGTGACTCGAGAAAACCACCAAAAAATGTTCTCCACAACTAAACAAAGGAAAAGCCTTCGTACACCCGAAAGAGCGCCCGTTTTACATTGAATAAGTTAGCGGCTACTGCCTCCCATACGAGTGTGTTGTAATTCCGAGAATAAGCGCCGGTTTAGTGGGCCAAAATTTCAAATAGGCTTCCTCTCGAATAAACGCCCCCTCCTCTCCTTCGGTTTTTTACAGACCAGTGATGAAGTTCAGTCGCCGATATCAATATTGCAATAGGAGATTTGAATATTTTGCACCTTACTCTCTTGAAGTTTGTGAACATATTACCACTGTGATCCTACGAAAAAGTTTTCCATTAAAGAATAGTTTCAAGACGAAGGGCTTGCTATACTTAAAACGTCATTACATATAATCTTCTATTTTCAGCACTTCTTTTTGTTCTTGTTTAACAATAAACCATCGCTATAACACGAAAGCATCCCAAAAACCCGTACAAAAAACTTCTACATGAGATTTTCTTACTTCAGTCGTCATCTCTGCTTCAAAATAAAGGATTGAGACATGATGATCCGATGAAAGAATAATGAAATCCGATGAAAGAATAACTTTTATCGTAAACTAGAAATCTCTTCAGAGACAACTTTTAAAAAGATGCTTACGCAAGGCTCAGATTAACGTGGGTGTCGCCGATGACGTCAACTATCTACAACGGGTGTCTAAACAGGAATATCGTGATTTTAGTCCTTTTGTGTCTGTGTGCCCTGGGTATGATTTTGCTTTGGTCTATTTTATTTTGATCTATTTTGTGACAAGGCTGTGGCTCCTCTTAGAAATACCCCAGGTCTTCCGTCATTTCGTTGAATAACAATAATCTTTATTCCCTTTATAACATAGCGAACATAGTACGCATCGCCTGATTGATCAATATCATGCTTTATACATACACATTGCTCATTGTGCCTGTGTGCGTACATGCGTATGTATGTACGTGCGTGTGTACACACGTACGCACGCACATACATCAGTCTCCCCAATTAGTAGAGCAACTTGGCGCTCAGCTATAAACGACTTGAGATTTAAATAATGTAATCTATTTATCGATATGCACGTACGCACGTGCGCACATACGCACGCACGTACGTGCGCACATACACACATATTACGAATAATGTGCATGATCTATGTATGTGTAGGTATGTATAAAGCATGATATTGACCAATCAGGCGATGCATACTATGTTCGCTAAATTTGCGAAGTGAGCAAGACAATGATGGAACAGAGGAACGTTGGATTGACCGATCGGCGGAATGGCGGAATGAGTAAATTAATATCAATGTCTCAAAAACTGGAATTGCAGTAAAATAAAAAAAAAAAACGTTCCAAATAACAGGCGAAATTAAAAGACGCGTAGGTAATCATTGTTGGAGCCAAGAGATAGGGGAACCATGAGGCTTTCGAGCTATCTCTACCATTGTTATCATTATCATTGTAAATAATATTATGTGAGGCAAATATTCTGCAACACTACCTCATTATGGTTTTTTTCAGTCGATGTCGTCAAAGAATCCATGGAGAAGTTCTGAATATTTTCGAAAACGTTCCGACTACATTTATTAGTGGGTAACCTGTGGAGTTGACGCAGACACACCTTCGGCGCTCTGCCTGCTGCAACCGAATGTTTCGGCTTACTATCATTCGTATGGACTTTTCAAGTTCTTACGTTCATTCAAACTTATTTTAGCCGCACGTTTATGAAAAAAAAAGTTTCAGGTAGGGTTGTGATAGCACAGTCTAATTTTTCTGGCAAGCATAGAAAAAAAACACTCGGCAGATTTAAGCTGGAGTGAAATCAGCGTTTTCGATCCGTGCGCGTGAGGATCACGGCGAAAACGCAGAGTCGGTAGGTACCATCGAACAAGACACTTTGTTATGAAGAATAAATGAATTTGAGCATCGTGCGCGAATAGGGTGACTCGCCAGTAAGGAGATCGATGTCGCGCTTTTCCACCCCAAGACGCAGCAAGCTGGCTATGTTGGTTGTAACATTAAAAAAAATCATAACTCCATTAGACATGTCTGAATTTTTGGCAAATAATGACCATTGGATCCTGTAACTGTGTACCTAAGGCCCGGTTCAAACGTTGAATTTCACATGTACCGAAGTTAAATGCATGTGAAGTGCGACGTTTGAATCAATTAAATTCGACTTTCGCCGTATCTGCGACTGAAACAGTCGAAGATTCCACTTTGGTTCGACTTTTGATTCAAACGTCGCATCTCACATGTGCCGAAGTTAATGCACGAATTATAGGAAATTATTATGACTCATTTATTACCCACAACTCGCCAGGAATTCTGTGAATGCCATGCGCAAAAAGCCAAAACAGCACAAAAAAATGGTGAGAGACAAAGGAATTTGTAGTTTTGCTTTGCAAACACAAATTATAGTTGTTTGACGTGCGTTAATTTACTTTTGTAGGAGGTGTTCGGTTTTTGAAACGAAGAGGGCACTCCTGAGTGGAAAGTAGGGAAATCTGTGGCATATTGTGGGTCGTGTTTCATGGAATGATGAAACGTGAATCAAGTTAAAGTATCCTGTCGAAAAGCCAACATGACGAAACAAAAACAAACGGTAAAGCAATTAATTAAGCAAACGCTCAATAGAAGTCTTCGTGTAACAAACAAGTAGTGC